GGGGGCGGAAAATTCAGGGAGGGCGTCCTCAAAGGCGCACGTCGCGCCAATCTGTCCCGAATCCTGAACACCTGGAGGAAGGGTCGGTGACGAACGCAACGCGGGCGGGAGAGAGTGCGCAAGGTGATGGCACAGGCGAAATTCCCCCACAGGCGCGGACCTCGGGTGACTATCCTGCGTGACTCCCTGGGCCTGGCCCAGCTCGTGGAATTAGGATCCGTAAAAGCCAAGCCAAGTCACGGTCACGCAGGTCCACCAGGTGACGGGTGCTGCGGAATTCCCGACTGTCCACGTCTCGAGGCGAACCTCGTCCGGCAATGTGAGAGAACAGACAGCGGCGGCACGAGAAAGCTGGAGAAGGAAAGACAGCGGGAGGAACGACACGGGCGGGGGAAGAAGGGGAGGGAGCTGAGGGGGGCAACGAGCACCCCCCACCCGGAGTTGCAGATGCCGCTCGGGGGAGGCGGCGGCGCGGCTGTCCAGAAGCGGTGGTACCGATGGGCGCGCGTCCCCGCAACCCTGGGGGTCCCAAGCGGGCGCCGCGCGGTCTGGCGGGGGGGCCCGAGCCTAGGGCGAGGGCCCCTGAGCGGGGGGGTACCCCAGACGGCTTGAACCAAAGCCACGGGCACACACTTTCAAATCAGCGGCACATAGGGTCCTCAGGCGCGAGCAGCAGATGGAAGCGTTAATTGCGACCGAGCATTGTCGACAGCGCAGCGTACAAGTATCGAACGCTGCAACATGCAAGCGATAGGTTGAATATAAAAAACTCGAAATCCAAAAGCACATGCAGCGGCCAGAAAACGAGGAAAGTTCTCGTCGCGCTTTCAGCCTGGGGAAATTTGTGGCCACTGAATCACAAGAGCGGTTTTAGACAGTGAAGCACAAGAATAAACGCTGGTACGCAGATTGGCGCTGCGGCCAAACCAGCGGTCTACGGAAGCAGATTGGTAGGGTGTTGACCAATGGACCCGCACCACAATCCGACTGCGATGATGGGTGAAGTATCCAACGACGCGTCGCAACGTGAGCCACCATGAAACGAAGAGGCTGTCATCAGCCGCGCCAGATTCTGCAATACTGGCAAGAGGTGCACCGGACTCATTTCTGTAGCGCTCATTTCTATAGTGCTCGCATTCAAACTGAAGTCCAGAAGGGGCCGCACATGCAGGCACATGCCGCACAGTCGAATGCACATGCCCATGCAACTCCACAAAAGCCTCAACAGCACTGCCGCACATGCGCGCACATGCCGCACAGTGCGATGCACAGTCGGATGCACAGTCTGGCAAAACTTTCAAAACATAAAACGCACATGCGCGCACATGCCGCAGACTCGAAAAATCGGAGGAGGGAGGGACAAATGAGCAGGAAAGAGGAATAAGGGAAGAAACAAGGGGAACGAAGGAAGCTAATGCGGCTGGCATTCAAACTGAAACACCATACCCGCAGAAGGGATGTAGCATGATAAAACACCAATCCAACACAAGGATGGGGTCAGCGCTCCAGTAATGTAGATCACGCGAGGATGTCTCAAGCGAAAAGGGCCTGACCACCTGAGCGCAAGGCATCTCGGAATCCAGAGTTGTGAGGATGTCTCAGACGAAAGTGGCTGGACCACCATAGGGCAGAGCATCTCGGAGGTCAGAGTTGCGGGGATGCCGCAGGCGAAAGTGGATGGACCACCTGAGCTCAGGGCATCTCCGAGGCCAGAGTTGCGGATGTGTCTCAGGCGACAGTGGCCTGACCACCTCAGCAGGGCATCTCGGAACCGTTGCGAAGATATCTCAGGCGAAAGTGGCTGGACCATCGTGGGCCAGGGCATCTCCGAGGTCAGAGTTGCGGGGATGTCTTAGGCGACATGGGCTTCTCGGAACCCAGAGTTGCGAGGATGTCTCTTGCGAAAGTGGTCTGACCATCTCAGCGCAGGGCATCTCAGAAACCAGAGCTGCGAGGATGTCGCAGGCGAAATTTGTCAGACCACCATGTGGCAGGGCATCTCTGGTCACACAGAGTTGCGAGGATGTTTAAGGTGAACATGACCTGACCACCTGAGTTCAGGAAATCCCAGACCATCATGGGGCAGGGCATCTCCGAGGTCAGAGTTGCGGAGATGCCGCAGGCGAAAGTAAATGAAGCACCTGAGCTCAGGGCATCTCGGAATCCTGCCCACCCGACCATGGCCTGGCCAGCCCCCGCTTTGTTGCACGTTCCGCACATGCCCCGCACAGCCACGCACAGCATTTGCACAAGCTGGGCCAGGCAAAGGAAAGCGACGACCCTAACGGACACCAAGCTCGCACTCAAAATAAACATGAGGCGTCTCGTGAGACAGCGAGGCGTCCCATGGGAGAGCACGCCCCCGGAAAACTCTCGGCGCATCCATCGGCACAGCCCTCACGCAGATCGAGGCCTGCAAGGACTGTTGGCACCTCGTGTGGGGGCACATCCGAGGTCAGCATTCCGAGGATGTCTCAGGCGACAGTGGCCTTACCATATGGTTTCAAGAAATTTCAGAACCCAGAGTTGCGCGGATGTCTCAGGCGAAAGCGGCTGGGTCACCATGGGGCAGGGCATCTCCGAGGTAAGACTTGCAAGGATGTCTCAGGCCAGAATGACCGGACCACCGCAGGTCAGGGCATATCCAACGTCAGAGTTGCGAGGATGTTTCTGGCGAGGGTGGCCTGACCACCTGCGCAGGGCATCTCGGAAACCAGAGCTGCGAGGACGTCTCAGACGAAAGCGGATGAACAACAGGGCATCTCTGAACCCGAAGTTGCGAGGATGTCGCAGGCGACAATGGCCTGACAACCTCAGCGCAGGGCATCTCTGAGGTTGGAATTGCGCCGATGTCTCTGGCCAGAGTGACCTGACCACCTGTTCAGGGCATCTCGGAAACCAGAGTTCAAATCACAATGCCATTGTGGGCTGACCACCGCAGGTCAGGGCATCTTGCAATCCAGAGTTGCGAGGATGTCTTAAGCGAAGGTGGATGGACCAACTGAGCTCAGGGCATCTCTGAAGCCAGAGTTGCGAGGATGTCTCAGGCGACAGTGCCCTGACCACCTCAGCGCAAGGCATCTCGAACCCAGAGTTGCGAGGATGCTTCACGCGAAAATAGCCAGACCACCATGTGACACGGCATCTCGGAGGTCAGCGTTACGAGAATGCCTCAAGCCAAAGTGTCCTCACCACAATCGGGCACGGCATCTCAAAGGCCAGAGCCTGATTGCCGCGGGAAACTTTGGGACCCCCCCAGGCCCCGAAGGTCACGAAGCGCTGAGGGCCCTTGTAGTAGGGAGCCCTGAAAATTCCGAGAACGCATGTGCGTGCATGTGCATCGGCATGTGCGAGCATGTGCGGGCGCGGGGTTGAGCGCATGTGCGTGCATGTGCGGGCCCGCGCTGTCGTCCGCAGGGGGGGACACAGGCGAGCGCGTGCATGTGCCACTGACCGATCTGCGAGTTTCGCACATGTTCCGCATGTGCGGGCATGTGCGTGCATGTGCATCGGCATGTGCGGGCGTGGGATTCAGCACTCGCGCGTATATGTGCCATTGACCGATCTGCGACGTTCGCACAAGTTCCACATCTGCGGACATATGCGGGCATGTGCGTCGGAATGCGCGGGCACGTGCGTTACAATGCATGCAACAAAACCCAGTGCACATAACCCCGCACATGCTCGGGCACGTGCGCACAGTAGGACATTCATCCAAAAACACCCGCACATGCCGGGCACATGCCTGGCACATGCTGCGCACATGTACGCACATGCCCGCGCAAAAACGGCCGCACATACACCCACCTAGGGATATAGAAGTAATTGCCGTGTGCGAGTAAAAGTTTGATCGCACAACCTGCCAGCAAACATAAACTGTCGCATTCCAACGCCTGTAAGACGGACAAAGATTAACAACATCAATCCACCGTGCCACTGTAAGGACAAACGAGCGCGGCGAGTTGGCCACCCATCCAGACACTCGCCGCCACCATAAAAAGAGGAAGTTCAAGGGAGACGACGAGCAAAAATGATTGTGCGAGGAGACTCGTGGTCATGCCATACGACAGGGCAGCCGTGAGCGTCGTATCTGCCCACAGCGCATGCACTGCGACTGTCCGCCAGGATACTCAGGCGCCACTGGCACGCACACCTTTTGTTTTGCGTCGGCGGCTAGGCAAAATCATTTCGCTGGCGGAAGAAGCGTGGTGCGGTGCACGGAACGTCAATTAGACCACCATGCAAGAAGAGGAGAATGAGGCGGGCACCCACCCACCCACCCACCCACCCACCACCCACCCACCCACACACACACACACACACACACACACACACACACACACACACACACACACACACACACACACACACACACACACACACAATTTTTGCGTCCTCGGCTGGGCAGAAGGTGACTTCTCTGGCGGATAGGCAACAAGGGAAACGCTGTATGCAAATGAAGGCCGCAATGCACGGAGGAGGAGGAGGAGCCCTGGCGCGACAGGGGGAGAGAAAGCCGGGCCACTCAAAGCTGCCGACGGCGGCGGGGGGAGCGCCGAGGTGGGAGACCAGCGCCAGCACTGAGCTGCACACACACACACACACACACACCGACACGACGCGGAAAAACGTGCCCATATTACGGCTATCCCAAGCCTCGGGACACGAGGTGTCACACGCTATGGCTCACCGAGCGCTCTTCGAACAGTCGCCACCCAGAGTTCTGGGCTGGCACGGCGGTGGGAGTTGCCCCAGGCAGCTGAATGATATTCACAAGCGCGATGCTGGTTGCTTGATCATCGACCCTGACCAAAAAAAAGGACTGCCCATAATGGACATAAATTGACAACACTCTGTCGCCAGATCTTTCAGTATGAGCCGCGTCTACATCACAGAGCGGGGGGGGCTGGGAAGGGGCATGCTGCTCCTTGACACAAACGTTGCCCCGATTTGTGGCCGCCGCGATCACCGGAGGTTCGGCACGGGGTCGGATATCACGCAACCAGATGTGCATGAACGAAACGAACATCAGGTAGACTACCGAAGCGACCCAACCTGTGCTGGAGATGGTATCGAAGGAGACCGACCAGTCCTCGCCGCCCGTCGTTGCCTGGTACAGGGTTAGCATCGACTGCTGGACGGAGCCGTACATCGACAGAAGGTCCTCGCGTAAACTCTCAGCGGAATCTGTCGTGCCCTCGCCCATCTCCTGAAGGTGGGTCGCGGCGCTAATCACCATGCCCAGGGAGAACATGTACAGGACCACCGCCAGCATGACGATACTCCAAATTAGATTCATCAGAGACCCGATGATGCAGATGAATATGTTGCGCAACTGCACGGCCCCAGTGATCACGCGGACCAGCCGCAGGGCCTTGGCCACTTTCACCACGCGCAAGCTGCGAAAGTAGGTGACGTTCCACAGGTTGCTCAACCTGAGCGCTATGTCCAGCGCGCCTGTGAAGACCAGCGTGAAGTCCAGAATGTTGAGGGCCGAGTCTTCGTTCCAGAAGAAATACAACCTATGAACGTACAGTTTCGCCACCAATTCAATTGTGTAGATCACCTGGAAGGCGATCTCCAGGGGCAAGATGATGGGGTGCGGGTCTTCGTCCAAGTTAGCCACCTCGCTGTTTGCGACGATTGCCATGAAGACGCAATTGAGCATAATTATTACCTGGACGGAGACCTCGAACCAATCATTGTCGAACAAATCCGCGAGTTTGCCATGTCGCTTGGGCTCCTTCAACTTCCACCAGTAGTTCAGACGCTCGATCCATTTGATTGCCGGGCCTGTCTCTATTACCTCAGTACGCCCCTGCCTCTCTGCGAAGCTCGACAGATGCTTCGCCCTCTCCTCGCTCCAGAACGTGTGGTGGCTACTCGTCACCTTCTTGCTTGTCCCGCTGACCGGAGAATCGCGAGTGGAATCCTCCCTGATGAGGCCCGCCTGAGGGCGACGAGGTCCATACACATGTACACCGCATCTGGCAAGGCTCATTCTGGGCCCAGGATCGGTGTATATGCCTCGCTGACCTAGACAGGAGGGCATCTCTACCGATCCTGAGTCCAAGCCAGGACGGCATAAATAGAATATACACCGATCCCGGACCCACGATGGGCCTGACCAGGGGCGGTGCAGATGTGCAGCTCCTGTCGCCCGACGCCTGCAGCTCGCCACTGGTGTACTTAAGGGGGGGCATGTGCACATCGCCGCCAGGCTTGCGGGCGAACAGCACCGCCTCGGGGCGACGAGATCTATCCAGATCCACCGCCGCAGGCCAGGCCCATCCTGGGCCCAGGAGCCGCGCACATGCCTCCCAAGGCCAAGCCAGGGGTGGCATGTCACAACGCTCCTGGGCCCAGGATGGGCCTGGCCAGCGGCGGTGCAGATGCATCGACCTCGTCGCCCCACGGCCTGCCGCCCCGAGCCCGCGCCCGGCGAGGCCCTCAGCGCCAGCGACACCTCCGAGCGCACGGCGTCCTGCAGAGCTCCGGTGGCCTCCCGCATCTGCTCCCGCACCTCCTCGCGCGCGGCCTCGCGCACGGCCTCGCACACGGCCCCTACGAGGCGCTCGTGCGCCTCCGCCGCCGCCAGGGGACTGCACGCAGCCGGCGGCTCCGCCCCAGAGCCAGTGGGCGCCCCCCCTGGTCGGGGGGCGGTCCACAGACCACGTCAGCGATCCTAGCCGAACCGATCCTGGGCCCAGGATGGGCCTGGCCATGACCGGCGAGGCGGACAGTTGACACCCCCCGACCTGGCCGCCTGTCCTGCAGCGTGCGGATCTTGTTCGGAGTCACGCGCGGCGACGCCCCCGCCGCTGCCCGCGCTGGAGACTGCCGCACGGACGACGGCGACGGCGACGGCGGCGTCGGCCACGACGACGACGACGACGGCGGCGGCGGCGACGACGACAAGAGGCCTCCAGAGGCCCCCCAGACAGGGCCAAGAACGTCCCAAAACCTCGACCCCCATCCTTCGATTCTCGGGCAACGACGACCCTCGACGCTCTGGATCCTCCGACGGCAACCACGACGACGGCGACGACGACGACGACGACGACGACGACGACATCGACGACATCGACGACAGCGGCGGCGACGGCGGCGACGACAGCGGCGACAGCGACGAGGCCTGCCGCGAGGAGAGCCCGTCCCTCGGTCCTCGGACGACGACGACGACCCTCGATGCTCTTGATCCTCCTCCTCCGACGACGACGACATCGACGACGACATCGACGACTGCGGCGGCGCCGACGACGACAACGACGACGACGACGACAACGACGACGAAGACGACGACGACGACGACAACGACGACGACGACGACGACGACGACGACGACGACGACGACGACGACGGCAGCGGCGACGGCGACGGCGGCGACGACGTCGGCGACGACGACGACGGCGCCGACGTCGGCGACGGCGGCGACGCCTGCGAGGCCTGCCGCGGGGAGAGCCGCTCGATGGCCCCGAGCAGGCCGCCGCGGGGCAAAGGCCGCAGCGGGGGCACCCCGTCGCGCCGCGGGGACGCCACGGCCGCGCAGGACGCCATTGTGACGCGCCCGCGGGGCACAGCACCCCGCGGATCGCTGAGGGCTCAACGACTTCGGGGACGCTGCAGGACATACAGTCAGCACGTATAATAAGGATGCGCGGTAAGGATGCGAGGACCTGAGAAGCCCATTTCGGAGCTTTCCGAGCGGAGCGCGGCCAACCAAAGTGGCCAAGGATGGACCCAGGAGGCCAGGATGACTGGGTACCCTTGGCAAGGACGGACCGAGGATGTAAGATGCAAATATGTCCTCGGTACCCTTGGTAATATGCAAGGGTACCGAGAACAGACATACTATTATGTTTGACAAAAACCATGGTCGAGCGAAGAGTGGTCGCGCGCAAGACGCGCGCAGGACGACTTGTGCAGAGAGGTGTTTGTCCAACAGATGTGCGAGTACGAGTCCGCCAGTGTGGCCAAGACCTCGCTCAAGACAAAGCCAACGCAAGACCGCACAAAACATCCCGCACAAGGCCTCGCACGACCTCTAGGACCACTCCTTCTGCGAAAAACAATCATACAATTTGCTGACGTTGGAGGCGCACGCCCGACACCAACATGTGCTACAGAGTACTGCAGTATATAGCTTCCCGAGCGGTATGGCCAAGAAACGCCCGCCCCCTTTCACACACTACAAGAGTTTCCGGGCGCGCGCGTCGGCCCTGAGGGGCCGACGCACACGCAGTAGAGCTATGCTACTCCTCCTCCTCCCTCCTCCTCCTCCTCCTCATCCTCCTCCTTCCTCCTCCTCCTCCTCCTCCTCCTCCTCCTCCTCCTCCTCCTCCTCCTCCTCCTCCTCCTCCCACCTCCTCCTCCTCCTCCTCCTCCTCCACCTCCTCTTCCTCCTCCTCATCCAGACATCTCGGCGTGTACGTCGCCCTTTCTGAGCATGCACCGATGTGCATGTAGAGTTGCCTCGGTTTGTCTGGCTCGATCCCCACCGAAAGTGGGGGGGGATGGGCGAAGGACTCCCAAGCGGTGCCAGAGCAAACGGGGTCGGGGAATCGCGCCACTCGTCGACGCATCGGTGATGCATCGGCGATGAATCGGCGATGCATCGACGAGTGGCGCGATCCGGGAGGTCTTCCATATCGCGCGGTCCCCGCTCCCATCTACTCGTGCCCAATCTAGGAAGCCTGGAAGAGGACGAAGATATTTGAAGACTGAGAGGACTGCACGAAGATGCTCTAAGACTTACAGGCCTGGGCAAAGGAGGGCTTCGAAATTTTTGGACATGGTTGGATCTCTCTGGGCCTCTGGGAGCCTGACTTCTGACGGCGCACACCTCTTCAAACGTTTTCGGCATGCCCACAAGGCTGAACAACGCAATAATCTGAAATCCATAACTCCCCCGCGGCCGCACATGTCGAAGATCCGGATTTTTTGTTCCAAGTATCCTGTAGTGTTGATCCTCGCTTGAAACCCATAGCACCGCACATCCCCTTCCTTCCTTCTATTCTCATCCCCCTCCTCATCCTCCTCCTTCTCATCCTCCTCCTCCTCCTTCTCCTCCTCCTCCTCCTCTCCATCCTCTCCATGCCTCTGCTCTCCGTATTCCCTTGTCAGGACACCCCTCACATTCCGCCTCGTCGGGCCCAGTGGGCAGAGACGCGTGCCGCACCGACACATTGCGGTACATCCCTTACACAGATCGCACCCTTCATGCGGAGTCCCACCTGCAGCCTCAACGCGCGCGGATGCATGCCGCGCCCCACCCATTTCGGCGCACCCCTAATGGGTTGTGCACGACGTATGAGAATGATTTTAGGACAGGGTCCACCCTACTAGCGCAAATTAATGTATGTTCAAGGTATCGCCTATTAGCGCCTGCTGGCGCCTACTGGCGCCGATCAGTGCCGATTAGCGTCTAGTAGCGCCTACTAGCGACAGCTAATAAGAACTAACAAATGCGACTGAATAGCCAGGGGAGACAACTCACGCTTGAAATGACTCCCACGCACAACACACCTTACACACGTACCATCGCGCATCAGGATGAGGGAAGGAGCTCCACCTACGGCCCCAGTGAGAACGTTCTCGCGGCACCGCCAAACGACTCTCAGGCGCGCGCTGGCGGTGCCCTCCCTCTCCAATTCACCGGGCCGTTCGTGGCCGACTGCCCGGCGCGTTGCCTCAGCCGAATGACGCCGACGCGAGTCGGCGAGCGCTCAGCGGACTATGCTCTCTCTCCTAAGACGCCGACGCCCTGAAGAACCTCGGGGACATTCAGCGGACACGTCGGCCGCGGTCGACCGCGCCAAGAGGCCACAGAGAGAGCACCAGCAAACAAAGAATCCCGCACATCAGAAGACAATGCCCAGACAGCCGCTACACGGCCGCAGACACACAACGAACTCTGCAAATCCCTGCTCTGGAAGCTGCGCTGGGCTGCAGCGGCAACGACCCCGGACCGGCAGGGCCACGGGGGTAACAAGACAGGGACTAACTGAAGAGAACGTTAACAAATAAAACCAAACAACTAACAACACAAAACGACAGGGAGCAGCAGAGGAAACGGAAACACCAAAGGGCCTGGAAACGGCCAGGCCACGGGAGCAGCAGGGGCGTGGGGAAGCAAAAGCGAACAGGAACAGCACGGGAGCAGGGCCACGGCAAAAGCAACAACGAGCATGAAAACAAAAAGGACACAATAACAACGGAGGCCTGGAAACTGTAAACAACAACAACAGATAATCGCAACAAAAAAAGTACATCATAAAAGACACGGGAACTGAAAGCGACATGAAGGCATCAAAAGACACAAGAGCAACAAAAACAAGGGGGACAAGAAAAGAAAAATACATGAAACAAACACCAAAACAAATCAGCAGCAGGAGCAGCAGAGCCACGGGAACCGACAAGACTACCAAATCGGCAGAGACAATCGAACAGCAAAAAACACGACAACCTGGGAACAACAAGACCAAGGAAGCACCAACATGCATAAAAATACACCAAAAGCAAAGGTTCGGGAACAGAAAGAGGCACGGGAACGCCAAAAAAACAGCATAAACGAAAGCATTGGAGAAAAAGGGTCATGGGAACAAAACGCTACGATCAATGATGGACTTTCGATTCTGGAGACAGAGCCATTGTGCAATACTTGCTGTTGCTACTTCGCTTCTGGAGACAGAGCCATTGTGCAATACTTGCTGTTGCCACATATTAATCCAAATACAATGAAACAAAGCATGTTCTATCCTGATATGTTCCCGCGACCGCGTGAACAGAGAAAGTCTAGATTACAGGTATCGGGGCGTCTGATTCACATGTTGTTTGTTGCGTTATAAAATTACCCCGTGTCCTCTGGTGTCTGATGTTCCCTCTGGGAACGATGTGTCTGGGCTCAGGCTGCATTAATTCGTGTAATTTCTTATTCTCGCGAATTCGCCTTTACCGTAAGATCGCTGCAACTGAGAACTATACGTGTATGTTTGTCACTGCCGACCTTGAAATATGCGTAATATGAAACGAATAACCCGGCGATTTGGTCAGCTGGCATCCCGAATGGTCTTTGTTTGTTCGGGCCTCCCTGCGCAGGAGGGAGCACACACCCTCGCTCACACACACACACACACATGCACACACACACGCATCGTCACCATCGCCATCATCATCATCATCATCATCGTTCATTATCAGTATCACCACTCATCACCATCATGATCATCATTTACACCATCACCATAGCCCGCATAATCATCAGCAGCAGCTACATCACCAACATCATCGTCATAATCACAATCACACATCACTACCACCATCCATTATCGTTCACGTACACACGCACTCATCACCACCATTCTCAATCACCATCATCAGCATCATCAAACCACTGCACACATGCACACTTGTACGCGCTCACGAACTCACACGCTCATGGACTCGTATTGAGGAGGTCTCGAGCGGGAGAGTCGCCTGTGAACCAGCGCGAGGAAAGCTCATGCGGGAACCTCTCTATGGGGGCCGCATTTCATGCCACTAGAAAAAATCACTACGTACACGAACGTTGCAAACAGAATTACCTCTTGCGAGGCCAATGTACCCCGCTGGAGCCCACGAATGGCAGAACCTCACCAAAACGCACGAAAATGATGACACTTGCATTGTTGACAAACTCCGTATGACACAAAAAAATAGCTCACTACTGGCTCCGGGAACCCAAAATGATGGCGAGTTGCGCAGTTGACAGCCTCCCAGCGCCGCGAGATCTCGTCTGACTCTCTGCTGGAACTCCATGGAAAACACGAACGCGGTGACAATTGCCAAAAGAAGCCGCGAGGTCTCGTCAGACTACCGTCTGTTCGATTTTGTTGTTTAACCAAGAAACGACAACAACAACAACAACAACAAAAACAACAACAAAAAAAAAAAAAAAAAAAAAAAAAAAAAAACTATGTCAGCTAAATTGCACTATCTCACCAATGATCATGCGTCTCGAAGCATCTGTGCTACACACAGCGGCAATCGGATTCTAACCTGCAGCGGAAGGAGCCAGGAGGGAGAAGAGGGAGGGAGGGGGAGCAGGAGAGGGAGGACGGAAAACACCCCCAAAGCGTGCATCGTGTCATCCAGACACCAAACTCAGGAGCGAGGCCTCCAGCCCCTGAAAGGCCGTAGAGGGTGCGACGCAAGAAGGAGCCGGCGGGAGCGTCTGCTCCCAATCGAGGAAAGTTCCTGCACTGCAACGCACCAGCAGCTGGAGCCGCCGCTGAAAAGAAGGTACACATGTGGCGCGAATGACAAAGTCAGGTAGCAAGTTGCACACCCGTGTGGCTCCCATGGCTGAATGCAACAGGTAATCTGGGCTTTGGAACGGCGGCCCCACGAGATGACGCCCGCGGCGCCAGGGGGCACGAGGAGGAGGATGAGAAGAATCAAGACGGAAAGAACGCGAATAACACGCCAGGCCAGAGCCCAAGACAGCGCGGTGAATCACGCCCAGAAAGAATGCCGATGTCTCTGCGAATGCTCAATGGCGCGAGATTAGAATGCTCCAA